GGTGTGTTGATGACAGAAAACAAATGTTCTTCTTCTTCCTCTTCCTCATCACAGAATATGATGTCACGTATTAACAGATTTAACTGATCTTTAAAAGAACAGACTGAACCTCGTGACATCAGAATCTAACAGCTGTTGTGTTTCAGTTTGAACCAGTCACATGATGAGTTTGTCCCCAAAAAACAATTATACTAATTTTACCCATTGCTGCTATACACTCTGTGTGTGTGTGTGTGCCTACTTGTACATGCTACATAGTGAGGACCAGAATATGTATTTTAGCAACACAGTGAGGACATTTTAGAAAGTGAGGACATATTGGCCGGTCCTCACTTCTGTAAAGGCCTGTGTGAGGGTTTAGATTTGATGTCAGGGTCAGGGTTAGGCCGTTGGTCATGACGGTTCAGGTTGGGGTCAGGGGCCAAGGAATGCATTATTCCAGCGAGGGTCCTCACAAAGATAGAAGTACAAGAATATGTGTGTTGGGTCTTTGTCTCCTCATCATCTGACTGAAAACACTTTTCTGAACGAAAGAACAAAAGAGAACAAAGAGGAGGTTTGTGTTTATGTTCTCACTGAGGAACGTTAGTGTACGAATTAATTTATGTTTTTAATTTATTTTAACCTCAGAGTCCCCGCATGCTCCGAACGTTCTGTTTCTGACAGAAAAGACATTTTAAAAAAGAAATGAAAGTGTTAAAAGTGTGTGTGTGTGTGTGTGTGTGTGTGTGTGTGTGTGTGTGTCTTCAGCTCTTGTTGCCACAGTAACTGCTGCGCTGAGGAGAAAGAAAAAACCTTCACACACACTTTGACTCTGAAAACAGGAAACACATTAATAATCTGCATCATTAGTTTTGTCATCATTCACTGTCATCAGCTTGTTTTTTATTTAAGACTTTTAAAGAGTGTTTTATTACAACACATAAAATAAGATAATCTGTGTTTAACGTCCGAACAGACATGATGACAGAGAACCTGTAGGAACAACAGAGCCTGTCGTTATTATTTCTGTTCGTACATCTCTACTGTATCTGTGGGCGGATCGTGAGATGATGGGCCCCTGCTCGCAGATATGTGACGGCCCCGCCATCGCTCTCGATGACGTCACCAGGGCGAGATGACAGCGGCCATATCCATCGTTACATACGGTCTAAAACATACAGACACATTTTATTACCGACAAACAGGAGAGAACATGAAAGACTTTTAAGATCCAGTGTGTCAGATTCAGGAGGGTTTAGTGTCGTCTATCAGTGAGGATTACAGATTACAGATCACAGATTACAACCATCTGAAACTTCTGGTCAGAATTCCTTCAGTGTTGATTGTTGAGGAGCTGAATTATCCTCAGGTCTCTTCTTCTCAGAAACAAACACACCTGATTTACACCACTGAATAAAACAGGCTCATGTTACAAGTCATCGTTTCTCTGACTACAGCAGCCAACATGAAAACATGAATGTTCCCATCTAGAGCTGCTGTTCAGCCTCTCACGCTGCCTCTTCAAGGAGGGAATTTCAGGCTGTGATGTCACCTCACCGCTCTGTATGAAAGGCACAATCATAGAATGAGGGGACAGAGTTGTCGGTATAAACGGGATCATGGGCAGCACAGGTGTGATGTTTTGACGACGTGTTATGTGTGCGACCCACTGTGGGAGATTTAAAAAGCAGCAGCTAGCCGTTAACAGCTAACTCAAAGAGGAAGAACTGTAGCGACATGCTGCTGTCGTCAAAATGAAAGGCCCGGCCACCAGACGCTCGCTGGCGAGCTCCCCAACAGGTCTGGCTCCAGGGGAGGCCCCGGTGTCCCCATACTGTCCAAATATGAAGTCATCAAGGTCTTCATGTTGAGGTGGTTCAACATCTGATCAGGATCCTCCAGGAGGAGCTGGGAAGAGTCCGGACATCTGGAGGACTTTCTTTCATCAGTGTCTGACGCCAGACGTCACCGACCAAGCTCCGGTATTCAGCAACTTCAGAGTGAGACCAGGTTGTTCCTTTCCTAAACCTAACCTCCAGAACTTTACGTTTATTACGTAACTCTATGACGTAGGGACGCCCACTGTGTTTGTTGGAGGCCGCGGGCCGCTGTTTGCCCCTCCCTCCCCCGCTGCCACACACAGTCAGTGTGTTGTGTTTGAACAGCAGGAATGTGCTGAACATCTGCATTTACACACACCTGACAGGCTGTGTGTGTGTGTGTGTGTGTGTGTGTGTGTGTGTGTGTCCTCACTTTAACTGCAGGATGACGAATTCATCACGTCTGTCAGCTGGTGAGTTTTAGTTTTTTAATATTTTCATGTTTCACGTGTTCACAGTTTTTAACTTGCAGAGTGATGTTTTGTTACTGTGAAAAGAAACAAGATGAAAAAATATTAAACTTTTAACAGTCTCGTATTTATTTATGATTATTTATTTCATAAACAAACTAAATTGGAACTTTGGGAGAATCTGAAGATTCATGGTCTGACTTTTTTTTCTTTCAGCCATTTTTGCGTCCAAATATGATTCATGTTTCCTCTGAGCTGATCAGTGTGATGAGTTCTGCTGGTTCATGTCCGGAGTTAATATCATATCATATATTTTGTTCTTGGTTCGGCACTTTGGTTCAGCTGGATGTTTGAAGAAGACATTTATGAAGTTTTTATGAACTGAAATTAAATTTTTACATTATTACATTGTTATTCTGTAAAACAAACTGAAGGAAATTTAAAGGAAAGGAAAGGAAACTTTATTTTTCAGGATAAGCTTTGTCAAGTTCATGAACACTGAAGGAACAAAACTGTTTGTTCTCACACAGAAACAGATTAAATAAGAATAAAGCAGAACAAGATAAATATTTAACTTCTGTGTGCTGAAATAAAGATTCAAATCTATAAATCTCAGTCAAAGATCAAAATGAAACCACATTACAACAAAGTGATCCACAGTCACACTGATGACGTGCAGGTGATGAACAGGTCTGTACAGAATCTGGATATCGATGTGAGTGTCGTCAGTGTCTCCTCCTCTTCATACGTGTCATGTGCTGTATTCAGTCAGCATTAAAGTCACAGTGAGCGGCGTCGTGAGAAGAAATGTCAGAACTCAGATTTACTGTTGACAGATGTTACTGTTTGTTCTCTCTATTGAAGCTTCAGTTTTAACGGCCGTGTGTCCCACAGTTTGTTCTTCACATGTTTTCATGACATTTTCAGGATTAAATCAAATTTCTGATTCAAGTTTTCTTCTAAAATCTACTCGGTCGTTCTTTCAGCCTGCTGGAGCTCATTTTAGGTTTGAATGAGTTGTGTGACGTTATTTTGGTTCAAAAACAGCTGTTATTATAAATGATTACTGTCGATCACATTATGAGCAAAAAAACAATTAAAAAATCTGCAGATTACCTTTGGGTCTGATAATAAGTTATGCTAAACTGACAACAACAACAATTATTATTATTATTATTATTATTATTGCTGTTGTTTTTGTTGTTTCTCTTTATGACACCTCCGGGATGCCGTACTCTCCTAATCTAAAAATCAGGCTGTAAAATGAACAAATGAAAAATAAATCAGTAACAGACACACAGCAGGAGATAAAGAGGCAAACACACTGTGTGTGTGTGTGTGTGTGTTCAGCTGAGATAAAACAGTTCATTTATATTCCTGTCTGTGAGCTGATTGATGGTTGATGGAGCCTCAGGGGTGTGTGTGTGTGTGTGTGTTTGTTTGTGTGTGTGTGTGTGTGTGTTCCTGCCAGATGGTTTGGTTGGTGCGGCTCTGAACTATTATCAGTGTGAATGGGGGGGGTCAAAGGTCAAACCGTCTGCTTTAATGTGAAGCTAATTTCAGTCGTATTGAATCAAAGACAATCAGTGAGTCAGTCGGAGTTCATCTGTGTGAAGGGACGACTTCTTCATGTGTTTGTCTTAGTGTTGCGGCAGAATGTCGTCTTATTCTTCTTCTTTGATATTTAATGTAATGAAGCAAGAAATCCCTTCAAATTAAAACAATATATATTTTATCTTAAAATTAAATATGAAGCAAAAACATCCACCAACATACAGTCAGCTGATCATCACGTTTATTACATTTCTAAATAAGGAGAAGTCAAACTGATATGATTATTAACAAC